AAGTGAGACTAAGAAGTTTCTTTCTAACAACTTTGAAATGAAAGATATGGGTGATACATACTATGTGATAGAAATAAAAATATTCCGTGATAGATCACAAGGACTGTTAGGTTTGTCTCAGAAAGAATATATTAATAAAGTTTTAAAGAGATTCAGAATGGAGAAGTGTTCAGCATCTCCCGTTCCAATACAGAAAGGAGACAAATTTAGTCTCATGCAATGTCCAAAGAATGACTTAGAACGGAAACAGATGGAAAATATCCCTTATGCATCTGTTATTGGGAGTTTGATGTATGATCAAACATGTACGATGTCAGATATTAGCTTTGCAGTTGGTATGTTGGGTAGATACCAGAGTAATCCTAGATTGGATCATTGGAAGACTGTAAATAAATTCTTAAGATACTTACAAGGAACAAAGAATCACATGTTTACTTATAGGAAAGTTGATCACCTTGAGGTGATTGGGTATACAGATTCAGATTTTGCTAGCAGTATGGATACACGAAAGTCTACATTTGGTTATGTATATCTTTTAGCCAGATGAGCACTTTCATGGAAAAGTGTGAAGCAGTATGTAATTGCTACATCCACCATGGAAGCTGAATTTGTGGCATGCTTTGAGGCCACAGTTCAAGTTAATTGGTTGCAGAATTTTATTTTAGGACTTGGAATAGTCGACAGCATTGTCAAGCCGCTAAAAATTTATTGTGATAATTCCGCAACAGTCTTCTTTTCTAAGAATGACAAGTATTCTAAAGGTGTTAAGCATATGGAATTGAAATACTTTGCCGTTAAAGAAGAAGTTCAGAAATGGAGAGTGTCAATAGAACATATTAGCACTGATCTTATGATTGTTGATCCTTTAACAAAGGGATTACCGCCCAAGTTGTTTGCTGGCCATATAGTGAATATGGACATTATGTTTACTAGCAGTGAATGTTGAATATTAATGTTAGTATTAATGCTTATGTGACGCTTTGAGATCTTTAATGTATAAGTTTCTGAAATTTGTGTTTTCTTCTTTATTTATATGCATGTAAATTATGGTGAAGAAAACAAATTATGTTATTATTTTTTAGATGATATTATGTTTGAACTCATTATGGACTTCTCATTATAAAGTTATATTAAGGAGAAAGAGATAATATATATAGTGGTACATGGAATGGAGCATGTGGATTGAATAACATGTAACCACCATGACTAATGCACATTATGACTTAATGCTCATTATGATTTAATTATGACTTAATTATAACTAATGCGCATTATCTTTAATTATGAATAATGATAGAACCAATTTATGTAAGGTCCTTTAATGCGCATTATGACTTAAGTATTAAATCATAGAATCATAAGAAATCACATGAGTTAAGTGGGAGAATGTTAGAATTAATTTAATTAATTCATTCCATTATGTGACTCATGTGAAATATAATGATGAGCCAAAATTTGATTTAATAAAATATAAGGACCTATTGGTTATTATGTGAAGTTAAAATAAAATAAAAACTTACGGTAACCAATTTGATGGACGTTGGTTAATAAAAGGGAATTAGGGTTCTGTCTCTGGTCATAAGGTTTCTTCACGGTAAACCATCAAGAAAATGTGAGAAGAGAAAGAAAAGCAAAAAGATAGATTGGAAAAAGGAGATTGGAGAACGAAAAGATTAAAGAAGAGATTCTCATGGATCAAGGTTAGTCTTCTTACTATGATTCATGTATTGATGTATATTATATTGTGAACATCAATAATCTAAAGATCTTGTAAAGTAGTTTTCTAGAATGAATTAAGAGCGTAGGAAAATTACGTAATATTTTACAATTTGAACTTATTAACTATTGATATTATTTGAATCTTTCATGTTATAAATTAAACAAGAAAACACTCAAATTAATGTCAATTCAGTATTTCTTGGGCTAAATCACATTAAAGAGGAAGATATACGCTGATGGATGATTCTTCTTTCTGTAATGTTGGTGTTATTGGAGAGTATGAAGCTACGAAAAATGATTTCCTTGATAGATTTTTCTTTTGTCATTTGACATGATAAATTAGTTCCACCAACATATTATATACCTAATCTTCTATATAGGGATGACAATTAAACTTATATCTGTGGAATCGATCCATTCTCGTCCTAAGTTTGATGGGAAAAAACTGAGTTGATCGGAGATGAGGGCGAATTTTCCACACTTTAAAAGGTCGAGCGCAAGAATGAGTAATGCAATCCTCACCCCGGCTCCATCTCCGTCCTCGTCCCGACTTTATATTTAAATTTTAAAATATTAATATTTTAAAAGTATTCCCTTCTCTTTTTTCATTATATATAAGATAATTTTTTTATATTTTACCATTATTACTTTTTTTCTACCCACTTTTTAATTTTTTTAATATTTTATATCAATTAGTTCATTATATTTCTTACCTTTCACTTTTTCATATTTCTTTAATCTCTCCAATTAATTTGTTTTTTTCAATCTTTTCAACCAGTTTGATGAACACAAAGTTAATTTTTCTTATTTTTTATTTTTTTATATTTTACATAAATATTAGTAGTGACTAATATTAATTTTTTTGTAATTTATCTTTATTATATTATATTTTTTGGATCTTATTATTTTTATTTGTCATATATCAAATTTTATCTTAATAAAATAATTGTATTTTAAAAGATTACAAAATTGATAATTTAATTTTTTATTACTTTGAACTAATTAAATAAGAACTAATTTATTAAATATTTTCTTATAAATTATATATTTTATGTTTTTAAATGACAACTTAAAAAAATTAACTTATATATAATCAAATGTTTGAACACAGTATTATAATAATAACAATAATAATATAAGTATTTAAATATTGGAATACAATATAATAATAATAATAATAATAATAATAATGTTATAAATATTTTATATATGTATAAAAAAATAATTAAATGTTTCTTTTATATACATATTTTAATATAAATATAATAAATTAAAATATATATTTAATTAATAATAATTACAAATTATAAAATTATAAATATTTATTTATGTAAAAAATACATAAAAAATAGTAAAATTAATTTATTATAAATATAATTATTTTTAAAAAATAATATAAATCGAGAATGGAGATCAGACGGGACTGAGAAAATTCGAAATTCAATAAAGATAAAAATAGAGACTTAATTTCTAATATCAAAACAAATCTAGAATGAAAATGAAAATGATTAAAAAGGTAGGAGATAGGGATAGAAATCAAAACCTATCACCATCCCGTTACTATCCCTACTTCTATATCTTAAAAGAGTGTTACGAAGTTATTAAATCTCCAATGGAATATAGGGCTGAGATATCTGGGCAAATATGAAAATTAAGTTACATTAGTTTTAAAAAACTAATAAATTAAAGTGTTATAGGAGAAGTGATTGACTTTTTTCTTTTTCACGTTGGAAACAATTCAGCATTAAAAATCTCTATTTTAAAAAGAAGAGGTATTATTGACTTGAGCATAACCTACTGTTAATGATAATTTAAAATAAATTAAATTTACTTGTATTTCACTTCACATCATGAGATTTTTTTTTACTTATTTTTACAAAATAATATTATTCATGTTTTTTTTTATGTATTTAGTACTTATCATATCATCTATTTTATCATAATTTTCTCTCATCTTTTCTAGTTTTCTCCTTTCCATACAATTTATTATAAAAAAAAAACGATATAAATAAATATCATTGTTTATTTCCATAGGACATTTCAGAATAAGAAAATAATAAATGGAAGATTCTTTCTTTTCCTTTATGCAGTGTCTTTCAGGTGAAGATGTCAAATTGATATTTATTTCCTATCTACTTTTTCTTTCCTGTTATTTTTTCAGTTTCTCTTCCTCACATTCCAACATGAAAATCACTGCAAAATCAACCACTCTTTCTACTCTTGCAGTAGTTACTAATATGACCACCTACCATACCAACTTAAATTATTCAAGAAAACTAAAGGGATGAAGAAAATAAAGAAATGAATACAAGTATTTAAGGAAAAAGAAATAACAAGTATTTGAGAAAAAATAGCTAATAAAAAGAATTAACAAAAGTAAAAGAAAAAAAAAAAGAGTCTGAAATAGGAGAAGCCACAAAAGCCAAAGCATTAGGCGTGACTTCATTTATGTTCCTTGTCTTACAGAGAACAGGGATAAAAAGAAAACTATACTAAAGAAAAAGAAGTAAACGAATAAGGAAAAGAAGATTGTCAAGCATGCTTTGAAAAACTATACCAAAGAAAAAGATATATATCAAATTAGTAAAGCAGATGGTGATGTTTTGAATCTCCTTTGGGAATAGCCTGCTATTGTTCACTTTGTTTACATTTTCTATTTCTGGTTCAACTATTTTTTTGGTACAGTGGTTAATTCAACTTTGTACAATCATAATATATTCAAGTTTGATTTTGTGTGGGTTGTTTAACTTGTTTCCTCTTGTAAAATAATAGCTCACCTAAATATTGAAAAATATATTTGAATGGTTGAAATTAAAAAGAGCACACACATATTTCTTTAGGCTTTTCAAACCTTTCTGCAGTCAACATTTGGGAGGTGGACAAAGAATTAAAGAAACATGATCTCAAAGAAGCCTTGAGTTCAAGTGACCTTTTAATATTTTCTCTAGATGCATTACCTTTTAATCTTTTATGATATCACATTATTGTTGGTCTTGTTCTAGCATCCACCATAGAAAAGGTGCATATTTTGGAGGTGACCAAAAAGCTTGTTTTGATATTTTTTTGTTTGGTGATTAAAGACCTGCCCGAATAGAATCAGACCAAAAATTTTATCATCTTGCAGTCACATTGCATAATCAACACTCTAATTAATGTGGCCCATTTATTATTTTGATTTGCATTGACTAATGTATGGTTAGGTAGGTGGGTATTTTCAGAGTTTACAAGGGCCCCATGACAATAATTTAAAGTGAAACACAGTAGTCCTTTTGTTCACTTGTATGAATGTTCTATACAAGAGGCCTTTGATGCTGAGTACTACCACTCTCAATAGTTTGTGTTCTCACTGCCTTGCCTCCATGGAATTGGACATTGGAGTCACTCACTCAGATCTGAGTCTTGGTATATATGCCATCCTTTTCTGTTTCCTTTTTTGGACTTCCCTGCTTTACAGAGAATACTAATACTAGCTGACACTGTTAGTTCTTCTTGTTTGTGATCTTATTTTGCTTATTATGCCCCTATCTCGTTGTTGCTGCAGCAGAGTCTTGGTTTGCATCTGACACTTCTACTGGGTACCTTGAAGATGCTATTGCAGGCTGGGGTATTTGGTGCAAGCAACACAACTTACCATCCTACTCTCAAGATCAAAAGGTTAACTATGTATGTATGGTTTCATGTTCTCCACTTTTGCTCAATTGTTATTCCGAAGCTTTTATAGTCAAAATGTTATAAAAAAGATGTTTACTTATTAATCACAGAAAAGCCAATATTTGGTTGATCAGGAAGACTTATTTCCAGCATTTTCAACAGCTCAAATCCTTCATGGTATGCCCTGGTTTCATTTTCAACCTTGCTTGATTTGGCAAATAACTCCGGTGATAATGTTTACAGATATTATTCAAGTTCAGTTTATGTTCTCTACTTTGTTTTTTTCACAATTCTAGAACTTGGCTAGAGGTTCTATATGTCCCTAAAAGGAGTTTAGAATTTGCAATAAATAACCAGCCTAACATTTCATTTTTTTTGCCTATAAATTTGCTACTAGTTTTGGCAGCAGTTATAGTAATTGAAACATACCCACCACTGACACTGCAAATTATTTCTTTACAGACCATAAGAACTTCAGCACTAGGAAGCTACCATCATCACAAAATAATAAACATGCAGCTGCAATTAAGCATGATTCTACTGAACTGAGCTATGCATCTAGAGAGTCAGATGAAAATGATGCTTCAGTTACAAGTACCATATATTATTTTATTATGAGTTTAATTTCTATGCACGCCATGCAAATAATTTTACAGTCTTAGTTGATCAGAAACTATACAAGATACAACTTTGAAGATACTAATTGAAAAAATTAACAAACTTATCATACAAGACACAACTTTTACTCTTCTTTTTTGTCCCTGTTTCTTATCCAGGGGGTCACAGGAAGAAAATAGCTTATCCATTTGAGTTGGTGAAGCCAGGAGGAGTTGAAGGGGAAACAACCCTGAAAGATATAAATCACCAGATGCTGATGAGTCCATCAAAGCCAATTCCACACCCTGTGGGAGACTCTCTCACTCATTCATGCATTTCAAACCGTGCCTTTGGTATTTCAGGTAAAGCAGTGGCAGCCCTTACTAGGATTCACACTCAGGGTAGAGGCTCCATTACCATTATCAGGACCAAGGGTTGAAGTGAAGTGAAAGATCACTACTGTATAATATCTCTCTTAGGTTTTTGTGTTATACTCCTAGTGATGGTTTGATAGTCTATACCATAGTATGCAAAAGTTTACTAGAAAACAAAACAAAACAAAAAAGTAGGGTTTACGAGGCATAATGTTAATTTGAAATTTTGAATGGTGAAGTTAGATACATGATAGAATAGCATTTTATATCATTGGCTATACATATTTAGATTTCAAAACCTAATTCAAGTATCAACCAACCACGGGACTAGGTGACGGATGAGTAGGGCATTAGTCCAACTATAAAGGGTTTCATATCTCTTTCATTTGAGACACTTATTTACTACTTCACATTATTCATTCATACGTTTATTGACTTAAACATCAAAAAGAGTATTTATGGGTGATTTCTCCTCCCTCCTAACATATATTGTAATAACTTTAAGGCTATCTTATCAATAACTTTTTAATTTAGATAATAACATAAAAAATAAATAAGTAAAAATAATTTTAAATTCTTTTTTCAGATAACATCATGTATTAAGTTAATTCCCATATTAAAATTTGATTAAAATATGAATTAATAATGGGAACGATTATAACATCTAGCGCATTGCTAGTTTTCTTTTTTACATATTTGAAGTATGACAAAGTATTTTTGAAAATATTCATATTTATAATTGAGTCCTACATTGCAATTATTATTATAATCTTTGCTTCAGATAACATAAAATATTTTCACAAATTTTGAAATGGTAAAACCCTTCTACCTATTGTGTTTTGTTTACTAAAAAATATCTTAATTAATATCTTGTCATTTAGTGAGTGAGTCTAATAAATTTTTTTAACTAAATAATATATAATAAAAAACTTAACAATTAAGTATCAATCATGAAACTAGTTGAAAAAGGAAATTGGATGATAAAAACTATATTCTACATTTAAATTTTGTGGAAATAATTCAATTTAGTGTTTATGCTAGTTATAATGCATAAAATTAACAAGTTAGGAAATCTAACTTAAGTTGAATATAAAATGTTGACTTTGAGAACGTTTTGAAAACAAAATTCAAATATTATAAATATAGTTTAGTTTAATAATATTACAAAACTATAAATATAAACAACTCAATTGATCATTTAAACTCATATATAAGATAATACAAACACAACACAAACACAAATTTCATAACATATGCTAAAATATATTTGTTTAAGTTTTTTTTTTTTATGTTAAATTTGCGATTGTGTTTACCAATGGTATATAAATTGAATGAGAAGTTTCGTCCATCAAAGTGTGATTGCACCTACATGTAGAAGAAGAAAAATTATATTAGTGTTATGTCCATGAAAGTGTGGGAGCATCCATATAAGTGAGAGCCATACTATACTAAGTAGAAATTACATCAAACATTTCCCACAAGATGGGTGTGAGACGTGCGCTAGAAAAGAAAATTAAATCAAAGATTTGCTCACAAAGGTGTAACTATTCCTACATGATGCAAGAGAGGTCTTAATAAAAAAATTATAATAGAAAAGGTGTACTAAAAATGAAAATTGATAAAAAGTTTCATTATAAAGGTATGATGGTATCGCGTGAGTATGAAAGACACACATCAAACATACTTATGTTAAATGAGACGTAATTAAAGTTTTAAAATCAAATCTAGTTATTTTTAATAAGAAAAGTAAAATTAACTATTTAGTGGTGTATTGAATTCAAGTTTTATTTTGCTATTCATCCTCGCTGGTAGTAAACCGATCCCTACCTTCCATTTAACCAAATTTGAGATATATATATATATATATATATATATATATATATTATTTTATTTTTCATCAAAGAACATGATGAACTAAATATTTAAGTGTGGATTTTTTTGGTTGCTGTTATATTCAATTCCACAATTTCACCTTTGAAGGATAAACTAAATGGTATAATTGCATGGATTAAAGTAGAACTTCACTTACAGAAGTACAGACTTAAAAAATGGAGCTTAAAAGGAATGATTCAGATAATTATTTAAATTAACCTAATGCTTATTAAAGTAATTTTACAACAAATACTAATTAGAATTAATTAAAGATATTAAAACGCAAAGAACATATGAAATACATTTTTCCTGATGCACAAAATAAGCCAAATTTTATCGCTGTATGTACCTAACTTAAGCTAAATGAGACTCTATATTTAAACATAACATTAGTTTGAATAAAAAAAGTAAATATCACTTCCTTCATCATAAAAATATGGCAAAATTGACAAAATGTTTATGGGTTTCGATGAAGATCGTTTTTTTTTTCCCTATAAAACTAGACTGAATGTAATTTTTACAACCACACAATTCATGCAAATCTACATTTTTATAGTTGTATCCAGAGTTTGGTAAACAAAAGCTCAGACTTGGTAAACATATCGCTTATTGAATCATTACTTAAACTTTCCATTGACATATCAAAAGTAGGCAAAGGTACGAGCAATTGATGGTACAGAATAAGCAAGTATTATGGAGTAATATTCAGGTACAGCATAAAGCTTAACAACTATATTTTCATGTCTCATACATATTCACGGTATAAATGAAGGTATACAAATAAACTCAAATTACTTAATGAATTCGAAGCTATATCTACGAAGAAGTAATGGAAGTTAGTTAAGTTAGGATATATAAAAGCCATTTGCAATTGCATCCAGCAAGGGCTGGCATTCTACCAGTAGTCCATACAAGAACATGAACCATGTTCAAAATGGTGAAAGCGCTTCCGGTCTCGAATAACTATCTTTCGCTCATACATTTTCGAGATTAATTTCATTGAGGAATGGCAATCTTCACAAATTCTCAAATTTTTCACAATGCAAAGTGGTGTCTTTGAGGGTGTACTAATTAAGCCAAAAGCAACAGCAATCTTCTCACTGTGGTAGTGCAGCACGTTTTCTTTGTGTTTCTCATCCATCTTGAGCAACACTTGTGTGGTGTCTGGCATATGACCCTCCAAGCTCAACTTGTTTGAAATTTCCTTCAGCATTGAGTGTATGTCTTTGGCTCTAGGATGGGAATGGTCTTCCACAAGGAACTCATGAATAACACCATCAATTTCAATCCAGCTACAGCCAGGGTCTTTCCTTATGTCCATGTCTTTCATCATTAACCTCACCTCTGCAACTCCATCCCAATCCCCTGATGAGGCATACATGTTGGAGAGAGCCACATATGCCCCACTGTCATGAGGAGCCAATTGCATTAAAACCTCAGCAACACGCGTACCTATTTCAATGTTTTTATGCATCTTACACGCACCAAGCAAAGCCTTCCATATGACATTATCCGGTTGCATAGGCATATTCAATATAAGTTGTTCTGCTTCTTCAAGATAACCAGCACGACCCAAAAGGTCAACCATGCATCCATAGTGTTCAATTTTAGGCTCTAATCCAACCCTATTAACCATGTCATTAAAAAATGATCTTCCCTCGTCCACTAAACCTGCATGGCTACAAGCACTCAAGATGGCTATGTACGTAACATCTGTAGGGGATAATCTACATTTTTCCATCCTCGACAAATAATTAAACACTTCATTGGCTTTACCATGCATGGCAAGACCAACAAGAATAACATTCCAAGTTATAACATTGTTTTGAGGTAGCCTCTCAAAGACCTGAATAGCCTTCTCAATGCTCCCACACTTAGCGTACATATCAACCAGAGCCGAACCAAGCACATCATCAATCCGAATCTTATTCTTCTCTGCATACAAATGCACCCATTTCCCCAACTCCAGCGCTCCAAGACGCGAAATCGCAGGCAGCACGCTGACCAAAGTGACACGGTTCGGCAACATGTCCCCCATCTGCATCATCCCATGTAACACCTCTATGGCTTCCTTATAAAACCCATTTTGAGCATACCCAGAAATCATCACATTCAAAGAAACCACACTCCTTTGTGTCATCCTATCAAACAACTCCCTAGCAGCCTTAAGGTTCCCAACTCTTGCATACCCATCAACCATCACATTGCATAGAACCACATTAAACTCTCCCCTCCTCTCGTATCTCACCAACCTCCTCGCATCATCAACACCCTCAACATTCCTATAAAACAAAACATGAGCATCCTCCATACTCCCACACATCACATACATCCTTAGCAAATTAGTGACAACAAACTCATCATCCCCCAATCCAAACTTAAGAACCAACCCGTGAGCTTGCTTCCCTTCTTCCAACCTGGCCATGACTGCGCAAGCCTTCAACACTGATGGGAAAGTGAACCGGTTAGGCTCAATCGTTGCCTCAGTCAGCATTTGGCAGAAAACCAACAAGGCATCCAAGTGCCTATCTTGGGTTTCAGCAAGTGCCCTTATCATAGTGTTCCAAGCAAAACAATCCCGCTCAGGCATTTGGTCGAACACCGAGAGCGCAAACCCAATATCACGAAAATCAGAGGTGGAACTGAGCCTGATAATCTCTGTTGCTATTGTGGTATCATGGATTCGTGCTGTTTTGACCAAAAGCGCATGCATTTGATTCAATTCTCGCATGTTTTGGCATGTCCTGAGTTGTGGGACAACCACACGTGGATCAAAAGATGCTGCATTGGGCTGAAACATAAAAGCATTCATCTGTGAACAATTTTTTTTTTCTTCCAGATTGAGCTTAAATTTTCAGTATGTTGCATATGTGGAGATCGTGATTTAAACAGAAAAGCATTTTCCTTTCTAGAAGAAGAATAAAGATAGAACTGGAAATGTTTGGTGTGGAGATGACATACTGATAGATAAGATGGTAGAAGGAAACTACCAAAACGGAGAAGAAGAAAGGAAAGATTAAAGATAGGATGAATATACGTAGACCTATTAAAACGTTGGCCCGGATCTAGGATATTTATTATGTTCATATTAACTATATTTTCAAATTTTTAATATAAAATAATAAATAATTAAAAAATATCATTTCATTTTTGCTCCCTTAATTATATGTTTTTTATTTTCTGTTTTTAAAATCTTATTTCACGTTATTTATCTCTAACAATTCATAATTACAAAAATAAATATTTATATTTTAAAATTAATATATACATTAATTTTTCATAAAGTAAAATAAAAATATAATGAAAATACAAACATATATATATATATATATATATATATATATATATATATATATATATATATAATCTTATATATATGTTTCCGCTAGTCATTGTTATTGGATTCAAATTTTCGGTATATAATTTTCTTATTGTATCAAATGTCTCACTTATTTAAAAAAAATATTTAGTTTTTTTTATCTATTTTTGTAATAAACAAAATAATATTCATCAATTTAAAATTATGTCGTTAATAATTTTAATTTAATATTATTATTTTTACCTACGTAAGCAATAATATATTTTCTAAAATATTTATGCATGCTTAACTAAGATAAGAGTGATTTTAATCAATATCATAATAAGTAAAACTTATAGTAAAGATCATCCTCTTTTTCTATGTTCCCCTTCAAATATCTATATGTATTATTTTAGGTTAAGAAAATACATATTTATCCTTTCTTCATCATTACACACGTATTTTATATTAAGATATTTTTGTCAAATCCTCAAATCCAAACCAGGTTAACACTTCTTCGACCTAGCCCATATAAAATTGAAGGAAGAATTTATTTATCTTAAGCCGTCAAAGCGATTTACAATTTTTGAGCTAACTTGACCCACCTCGCTTTCAACTTTAACCGACCTAAAAGTAATTAAATTTTATAAAAGATCAATTTCTGAAACTATCTCTCACTCAAATTTCAAGTTGAACCCTAACCTAACCACCGCGCACACACGTACACACACTCTGTGACCAGCCCTGTGCCAGCCCCCTCTCCCTTGAATTATTTGAATTCCGCACTCACGCACTGACCTCAATTCAGAATGAAGCTCGACGTAGATGTGTTGAGATATCTGTCCAAAGATGATTTTAGGGTTCTCACTGCCGTTGAATTGGGCATGAGGAATGTGCGTTTTTGTCTCTCTTCGACCCTTACACCATTTCATTTTATTTTAATGTCTAATTATTATTTGTTTTGAATTTTTGAGCTGAAATTAACGGAATTCTCCCTCTGCCGCAGCATGAAATCGTACCAACGGAACTCATCGACCGAATTGCTCGTCTCAAGTACATTTCAATATTCTTCTGCATTCATTCTCTGTACTTATTTTTTTCATTTTTGTTACTAATTTTTATGTTTATGCTTGTAGGCATGGAGGCACGTACAAGGTTTTGAAGAATTTGCTCAAGAACAAGTTGTTGCATCATGACTCTTCTAAATGTTGGTACCTTCTAATCTGTTTATTATTAGCCGCAGTAAAAAAGGAATTCTGATCATATTAGTATAAGTATATTGAAGGACCTTCTAATTAGTGAGACCTTAATTTGATTTTAGATGATGGATTCCGCCTTACCTACCTTGGTTATGATTTTCTTGCCATTAAAACTATGGTGAACAAAGGAGTGTTTGTTGCTGTTGGTCGCCAGATTGGTGTTGGAAAGGAATCTGGTATTTTGGTTAATGTTCTTCTTATGTGTTGTCCTTCATTCAATCAGATTTCATATGTTTTTTGCTAATTATGTTGTCATTTGTGCTCCGCTAGATATATTTGAGGTTGCTCGTGAAGATGGAACTGTTCTAGCCATGAAGTTGCATAGGCTTGGTAGAGTCTCTTTTAGAGCTGTCAAATCTAAGCGTGACTACTTGAGACATCGCAGTAGTTATAATTGGCTCTATTTGTCTCGCCTTGCCGCACTTAAAGAATTTGCTTTCATGAAGGTTTTACCTTCCTCCCCTTTTGTCTATCTAGTTGCTGTATATTGAGTTATTTTCTTCTTGTTTGATTCTCTAGTCACTGACTTACCGTTTGCTTGAGCAGGCTTTGGAAACCCATGGCTTTCCTGTTCCAAATGCTGTAGAACACAATAGACATTGTGTAGTCATGTCACTTGTCCAAGGTTACCCTCTGTAGGTGTCCTTCGTTAACTTCGCTACTTTTAAAGTATTTTCCATGTATTTGTTGATCTTTGGCTGATTTTCTTGTTTCTAGTCTTTCTTTCACCCCTTTTGCTGGTTTTGGTAAACAATTGCTTGGTTTGCCTATTTGATTTTTCAAATGCAGTGTTCAGGTCAAGCAGTTACAGAATCCAGAGACAGTTTTTGAGACAATTATTGGTCTAATTGTTCAGTTGGCTGAGCGTGGCCTTATCCATTGTGATTTCAATGAATTCAATATCATGGTATGCTTTGACTTATCTGCATAATGATTAAAGAGGATTCAAAATTTTATTTCATATACTGTTAATCTGTTGGTTTATACATCTAGTTTACCTTTGAATTCCATTTATTGTAGATTGACGATGATGAAAAAATTACCATGATTGATTTTCCACAAATGGTATCTGTGTCACACCGAAATGCACAGATGTAAGGGTCTCCTCGTATGATAGTCTTTCTCACGATTTGCTTGTGACATGTTATCAGAATTCCTAGCCACCCTGTCGCTTTGTTTTTGTTTTGTTATTTGCTAATTTAGTTTACAAAATTTGCATGTAATTTGACATTCTAATCACACTTATTGAGAATTTAATGGGCTAATATGAGGTTTGCAAATAACAATTCTTTCTCCCATTGTTCAACCTGCATCGCCCCTGAAAGAGAATCTTTCTGTAATTCATTCATGTTTTAAATCATCCATGCAAATACACGTCTCTAAATTTGCAAGGTATATTCAACATGTTAAACCTTAGTAATACGATTTCCAGATTTCTGTTTGCATCTCTTTTCATTTTGTGAGTTAGAATATGCTACTAGAACTTTTCTAATTTGAAATAAATTTATGAGTTAGAATGCTAATAGATGTTATATATTTATCTAAATTTTTTGTGATCAATTGAAAGTAGTGTGTGGTGATATTAACGTCATATTTTTTTAAGTTTAAATTCAATATTCATGGTAAAAATAAAATTATGAAAATTTGCAAATAGTAAAAGAAATGCACAATTTGCATGCCTAAATGCTAGGTATTAATGGAAAAGCAGAGTATATTTTATTTATGGCTTAACTATATATTATTTATCCTTGTTTCAGGTACTTTGACCGCGATGTTGAATGCGTGTTTAAGTTTTTCAGGAAAAGGTAGGATTTTTTGGCATCATATCTTTGTCAACTTTAGAGTTGCTTTTGCATATCATTTTTAATATTTTTTTTGTCTTTGATGATTAAAAAATGATGTTAGTTAAAAATAGAAATGATATTCTCACATCACTTGCCCAAACTGCGGACTTAATTCAGTAAAGTATAAAGTAATTAGATATGTCTGTTATTACAAGTTGGGATAACTTATTAGAAAGTGCAGTTAGTACAAAATATCAGGGACATAGTCAGAAGACTTGGACTCATGATTCTTACACTATGTTTGGAAGGGGTGAAAGTTAGAGAAAAAAATGAAGAGGAAAAAAACACAACAATGATTTTTCCTCTGTTTGGTTGAAGAGAAAGTGAAAGGAAATGAGAATAGCTGACTCTAGAAATAAAAATTAAACTTTACTTTGTTTCTGTTTTCCCTCAAATTTATATTTAAAATTCTCTCTTCCCTCACTTTCTTTCTTCCCAACCAAACACAGGGCTAGTGTTCTTTCCTTTGTCTGTCTTCCTCTAAGGTCATTCATTCATGTTGGGAATGTTTTTGTAGTTGAACTCTTGAATCTTTTCTGTCTATTTTTCATCTATATATAACCAATATATAACATATATGCAATCTGTAGTTGTTACTTTAAACTATCCTGCTGTGGAGTTGTAATTATGTGATTCCTTTTTCCTGTATTTTGAGTACAATTTTAATATTACATTTAATGTAGCTAGCTTAAAATCATCTGAAAAGCTTGAAATTTTGAAATCTTGTGTTATGATATAGAGGGTCATTTGTTTATCTGATTAATTGGATAAAAAAGTCGGTAATAAGCCAGACTGAGCCAATATGAAGAGTCACCCTAGAGATAAATAACTTCCCTAGATTTGTAAGTACTTTTGCAGGCATCCACATATAGAAATGCTTCTAAAAAGGGGGAAGGGAAGATAAAGAGAAATTTAAATTAACAAAAAATAGAATAAAGATTGATGGCCTGCTGTTTGATGGGTAGCTCTATCTCCTATATGTCCTCATTCTCCTAAATTAGCAAAGAAAAAGAAAGGAATATAACTCAGAGACTCACCCTCACAAAGAAATATATGAAGCACTTTTTTTGGTAAAAAAGTGAAGTTTATTATTCATTAGAACATTCACCTTTTGTGTTGGCGCATGTCTAGTGGTAGAAGGTTTTGAATTTACTATGTTTTTGTGCATTTAGTATGCATGAAGAGTTTAGTAATTTATTTATCATTTGTTTTTTGGTTTCTTATGCATATAATTCTATTTAATCTCCTGTTTTTACTGCATGGCTGATAGATCTTTGGTTGCTGAACTTGTTGAAAGGATTTTGGACCTAGTTTTTGGCTGGTATATCAGCTATCTTCATATCATTCACTCTTCTATGTTTCAGGTTCAATCTTTCTTTTGAAGAAACCTTAGATGATATTGATGGTTCTGATGAGGGGAGAGATGAAGCTGGAAAACCCTGTTTTTCTGCAATAGAAAGAAGTGCTGGTTTTCTAGATAGGGAACTTGCTGCCAGTGGCTTTACTAGAAAGGATGAAGAAGATATTCAAAGGGTATAGTGTTTTTCTTCTTCTATGTGAGATGGGGAAGAAAATATATAGATAATTTTTCAAAAGGCTATATAACTTTGCTTTTATATTTTCCAACTCTCTTGGCTTAGCTGCCAACACCCAGCATGGACCTCCGTTTGGCATCTGGTGGAGCATAATATCATCATCATACATGGGGGTTAAAATTGTTTGTTTATAGTTGTAGTGCGTGTATTGGTAATCTTTCATTTTTGGATTTGGTTCAGCCTCAAAGGTATTCAAATCTCTATGTGCAGTTCATTGAGGGCGGGGCAGAGAGTGATACCAATTCAGATAGTGAAGAGGTTGACTTAGTAGAAGACCTTAATGAAGCAGGCACTGTAGATGGTGATTCTTCAGACTTGTTGGAACAGGTAATGTCATAAAAGAGATACAGACTTTGTAAAAAGGTGCTGTTTATTTTATTTCAATAAAAACATTTATAAAAGATGTACATGTAAAGAGAGATAAAAGAATGGCTACCATAATATAGCATAGATAGCTGATAACTCTGTGATTGAAAACCTTTCCTGCCTTTACCTGCAAAAGCCTTATAAAAAATCATCAAAAGGAAATGTCCTAAGCTAAAATGACTAACACACCAAAGATATCATATCAAGAAGCCTATCATGTTACTCAAGCAAGTGCCTGAGCTATGTTATTTCTATATTAGTCTGATTCACTCTGGACATAGTGTTCAGCATGCTTTTTAATTTAAATTTTTGTTCCATTTTTTCAAGCATGACTTGTATGGATATTTGTAATTCCTTGTTCCTAAACTAAAATTATTTTGACAAGTTTCTTCTTTGTAATTTCGTAAGGATTTTCCCTGTGAATGATTGAATTGGGTTGAATTCACTTGGAATAGAAGCAGAAAGGAATTTTTATTAGTACATTATTGATGCTTATCCATGAAAGCCTAGGTGGAAATGATGAAGCTGGTATCAGAATTGGTGAAAGTAGATTATGGGAACATATAAAATAGTTAAATTTTTTCTAAGAAAATATGGATGTGTACAACATATCGTTGTGTCATATCAACATATTCCTCACTTGAGGTATCTAAACGGTAAAGGTGATGACAGTAAAGAAACAAATAAAATACAAATGTGTAAAACATGGGGGAAATAAACTGACAAATGTTTTACAACATAAATATTGTATTACTGACAAGATAACTAGATGTGCAAGTTAAGAAGATAAAGGTGGAGATTGATGAGGAAATTAGTTCCATTTTTCTGAAAAATGGAATAAAATAGTTCAAATTATCTATTAATTGTGCCATGATTCAAAAACATTTCACATCAACATATTCATCACTTGGGTGAGGGACAATTTGAGAAAAAACATGACAGCCAGGTCCTTTACCCCACACCTCATCAATGGAGGACTGACCAAATAGGTTGTGTAATTATGAAGGGAGGGTGTAGGTTATTTAGTAGATCTGTTAAAGAACTGAGGAACAATACCAACTTTCTTTCTGGGCTTGAGATGATTGAGCTTGAAATTTTCATTATTCTGAATATATCATTGAATATAGTATAGCTTCTGTGATATATAATAAGTGAACTGTGATATGTTAATTTGAATATCCAAAATTTGGTTTTAGTTTGTCCACTGACTAGCGAGCATATATACTCTGCCATAGTTTTTCAACTTATTTCATTAGTTGTGCAAGTCAAATGCTGCAATGTTTATTGAAGGATTGTTATTTTGTTTTAATCAGAATGAGGGATATGAAAGTCAGGGGAAAGAGGAGAGTTGTGAAGCACGTGAAAGCAGTGGATCGGAAAAGCAAGATGCAAGTGACAATGTAAGCAGTGCTTTATTTTTTTTATTGGATGGTTGTCTCAATGCTATAGTTGTGCTGCTTCTTTTTCCTCTTCATATTATTCAATTATAAGAATTTCTGGTGACGGTGACCCATGATGAATTTTTTGGGAAATAGCGTGTATGAATGTCTAAATTGTTAACTAGGAATATTATGCATATCCTCTTCATTTCTTCTCTAATATTGTTAAGTTTATGTGGTATTCTGAACCTAGATTTTTCTCAATCATAGGCTCATTTTATTATTGTGAATTTGCTAGTGACGTAATGTAGAACATTATTTCCTTGTATTGCCTCCTTAAAAAGTTAAAGCAGATAATTGTAAGAAATTTTGGTAAAATTGCGGTGTGAGGGGGACCTTGCATGGTTCCTTGGTTTAGTTCAGATGGGTAGTCGTAGACCATTATCAATTTCATTTAGTTTTTTATCAAAATTTAAAGGGCAAAACGCTGTTTAAATTGTTCTAGTTTTATAGGAAGCTTGTTAACTGGCCTTTTGCATGAGAGCCTCACTGGTGGTAATTTTGATTCACAGGAGGAAAACAATGAAGAAGCGATGGAAAATGAAGCTGAACTCGTTAAGAGCTTGAATAAGCAAAGACGACGTGCTGTAGCAGCAGCTCGTAAGGGGCGGAAGACTGTCGCAGCCAGAAATTCCTACAAAGACAAGGGTGGTAGGTCATCTCACAATTCTAAAATCCAGAAACAGCTGAGCAGCTGGTGAAATATATGGGAGACAAGACCCATGTGATTGACCTTCTGGAGTGAACTGAGAAGAGAAATTCATAGTTTCAAAGGTGCCATTTATCATATAGCATTAAGGTTTGGTAGGATATCGTAGACGACCTGTCTGTTCAAACTAAAACATATCTGTAAAGTTGAGATATACAAATAGGTGTTGGTCCCCCCCCCCCCCTCTCCCCCCTCCTGTGGAGGATAATCATATTCTCTATTGGAAAGTTTTGTCACGTTAGCCTATTTTTTTGCTGTACTTTGAAAGCAGCTATTGATTATTATCAGCTATATTTTAAAGCCCTATGCTTGCCACAGGAGATTACATCCTTTTAGTATTTTCTTTTTCATTATTGTTTTAGTAAGCAAGTTTTTTATACTTCTAAAATTTGGTTTCTATTAAAATTAATGTGTTTAATTTATTTTCAGTGTTTTTCTATCCATACTTAATAAGTAGCTTAAAATGATCCTCAAAGTTATTTTTTATATTCGAATTAAAATTATGAAGATTTTAATTTTGCTTGTGTTACATATAGTATATCAGTATTAATTTATTATTTTATTAAATGTTGGATATAAGATTTTCCAGTTATTAATTTCAGATCGGGTCAATTTTAGCTGTGAACAAAATTATTCACACCTAATTATCACTGGATTCCTTTGTCAGGAAAATAAAATATACTTTTTTTTCAGTTATTAGTGAAAACAGATTAGTGAAAAAAAATAGAAAAAGAACAAACAAGAGGTAAACTGGACCGAACCCAACATGGCATCAGACACAACAACTTCATGCTTGTTAAATACATGAAATTACTTTTTGCACTGCCTTTTTTTTATTCTTTATAATTACCTTACTGTATTTATCTTAATTGTTATTAATGAATGAAATGAGCTGATTATGTTTGTCAAAAGAAGTTGCACCATTAAAAAACTGTAAATTTAATTAAGAATTAAGTATGGTTTAATCACATAATTGTTTTTGTAAGTCTTTCAAAAAGAATATTTGCAGAAATTAATCCTGTAAAACATACAATTGTTTTTTTAGTAATTAAAAAATATATACAACAAATAGTTTTAAAAAAATAGTGTTGGTAGTTCATTTTTCTGTACTCTGTTAATAATGTTTATGATTATGACATGACAAATGGCGGACATATTACTACCTATAATTGATGAATTCATTGTAAAATAAGACATGATTGGCATGGTCAATTTTACTTTTGGTTCTGTTAATAAATTCTTATTAAATCCTGCTAGAAACGAGACTATCGTTTTTTCTTTTTTTACTGATTTCATTAGATATTTTTTTAAAAAGATTAACAAATAAATGTGTTTTTTTAGAAGATTCATTTTTTCAAAAATTTTAAATGACTAAAAAATATATTTTTGTCTTTACTTAAAAAATTGAAATTAAATTTCTCCATGTATTATACATTCTTTTTAATAGTATTTTCAAAAGAAAAGAGAAAGAGGGTGATGCAATGAGAAGAAAAATGTTGCAAATGGTAATCCCTTAAATCTTATTTATCTTTTCTTTCATCACTTAAGCCTGATTTTTCTACCCAAACTCTGAAAACATTCCCATGACCCGATTTCTGCAAACACAACACCAGAAAATCTTAAGATTGTAGCTTCCACTTTTTGTCACATATACTGCACCAAGAATGCTGATATGTATCTTATTCTCTCTGCCAAGCCCAATCCTTAAACTTCATTAAATAAATTACACTCCCACTCATTTCGTCTCCATTTTCGTTCTTCTTCAAAGGACGTGCGAGAATAAAGAGAACGGAGAAAGGAGAAGTGAAACTAACGTGTATATATATATATATGATAAGTCTTATGATTTTTCCACTCAAGTATTTTTTTTTTCTTAAAGAGTCGTTTTCAGCAAAATACAAAGATTAAGCGTTTTTTATTTACATAATAACGTAATAATGTACAAAAGCTTTTTCAGGAAACATAATTTGAGAATAAATTTGTACACAGGCAATTGAAAAGGAATTTATCTAGAGTTGGAATAAGAACTGATGTAAAATTAAGTAAGATGGATAATTTTAAAAAGATAAAGTGCAAAATTTTAAGTAATAAAACAAGTAAATTTAAGGAAAATTTCCACTGATATTAAGATAGTTGTCTATCTAGACGTAAAGATTCATTTTCAAGGATTATGGAGATAGGAAGAGATGAAATGAAACTAAAAAAGAATAAAAACAAGGACCGAAAAAAATGGATCAACACCTTAGATAAATAGATAAAATGAAGAAATAAATAAAAAAAGATGAAGAGAAAAGAAATATATGGTAGTGGTGGAGTGTTGGCAGGCCACTAGGAGGCATGGCAATGTAGCGGGGCGAGGGCGGGTTTTGCCTCCCCGATCTCTGTCCCTAGTTTTTTTAACTATTCCCGTTCCCGTACCCAATTCCCGCCAAGATTAGAAATTAAGTATTCATCCCAGTCCCGCTGGGTTTCGAGGTTCTCATCTCAGTGCCTAATTTATATTATTTTTAAAAAAGATAATTACATTTATAATAAATTAATTTTATTATATATTTTTTATATATTTATAATTTAAAATTATTATTAATTAAATATACATTTTAATTTATTATATTTATATTAAAATATGTATATAAAAGAAATATTTATTTATTTTTTATTTATATATATAGAATATTTATAACATTATTATTATTATTAATATTATTATTATTATAACACTTTATTCAAATATTTGAATACTTGTAATATTATTATTATAATAGTATATTCAAACATTTGATTATATATATAAGTTAATTCATTTTTAAGTTGTCATTTAAAAATATGAAATATATAGTTTATAAGAAAATATTTAATAAGTTAGTTCTTATTTAATTAGTTTGAAGTAATAAAAGTTTAAATTATCAATTCTTTTTAATCCTTTAAAATACAATTATTTTATTAAGATAGAATTTGATATATGATAAATAAAAATAATAAAATAAAAAATATGACCTAATAAAAATAAATTATAAATAAAATAATATTAGTTACTACTAATATTTATGTAAAATATTTAGAAACGAGATAAAGAAAAAAATTAACTTTGTGTTCATAAAATTGGTTGAAACGATTGAAAAAAAATATTGATGAGAGAGATTAGGAAATGTGAAAACTGAAAGGTAAGAGAGAATAATATAATAAATTAATTGATATAAAAGATTAAAAAAGACAAAAAGATTAAAAAGTGGGTAGAAAAAAATAAAAATTGGTGAAATCTAAAAAAAATAACCTTATATGTAATAGAAAAAGAAAAGGAAATACTTTTAAAATATTAATATTTTAAAATTTAAATTTAAATATAAAGTCGGGGATGGGGTTGGGGTCGGGGTGAGGATTGCATTACCCATCCCCGCCCCCGCCCCCGCCCCCGGTCAACTCGGGTTTTCTCTGTCAAACTCGGGATGGGGACGGGTCGGTCCCCATGGGTACGAGTTTAATTATCATCCCTACCTAGAAGATGAACCACCCTAGATAAGTGGTGGTTGTCATCACTTGAACCAAAATTCAAGATAAGACACTAAAAGAGATGAAACACTCTAAGAAACCTCACAAACTTGTTATAAATGTTCAACCTAATTACATGAGGGGAAACATTCTATTTATAGGCTTTTGGGAGAGAGACCTATATGTAATTACAAAAGAAGACATAAACTTAACCTAAACCTGAAGGCTAGAGTCTCCATTGTCCAAATATGTTAAATTCGTCCTAATCCACCAAAAATACCTCTAAGGGTATGGAGAACATAAAAAAAAGAGGTGTGCTTCCTTTTGGGTTGTCTCAAGCCAATCATACCCGCAAGTCAAGCTTCTAATTCCTCTTCAAAAAGGGGTGTAGGACAGGAAAAAGGAGTATCTTACACCTTTGGGTTGCCCACACATGTATCCTATGTATCCAAGCCCTCTTTTCCAACAAAAAGATGTGGTATTCTTCAAAAAGGAGGTGCAAAAAGTGAGTCTACAAAAGAAAAGCGAAAATAAGTAAAAAACATAGAAAAAGAAAATACTTAATAATTTAAAATAAAGGGTGAGGAGAAAGTCTCTCTTTTAGTCATGCTTCTAGTAATCCTCTTAGGGATGACTTATTCCATCTCTGGGGCAACTAGGGACTCATCATCCTCCCCTCCTTGGAGAGAATTCGTCCACGAATTCTCAAAACCTCTTTAATTTTCATGTCTTTCTTTTCTTTCTTCTCTCTCCTTTTTTTTTTGCACTTTTTTCTTATTTTCCATGCATCTCTCTTTTTAATCCTTATCTGATTATGACAGCTCTTCAAATCAATCTTGGAAAATATGGTAACACTTTTTGTCTCACCAAGCAAGTCATCAAGGAAAGCTTCCGTAGACACAACATCGCAAATAACTTCATTCTTGTATTTCCTTATCGCAAAGCTAACGAAAACTTGTTTATTTACCTCAATCGCATCTTCCTCACTAAGCCAAGAAAGCTTGTAAGGCTTGACATGAGGAGTAGTAGGTAGATCAAGCTTGTCTACTACCCTCATGCTAGCCACGTTTACACAACTTCCTCCATCAATTATTAGTGAACACAACTTGTTATTAATGAGACAGTGAGTATGAAAAATATTTTCTCTTTGGGATTTGTCAAGGTCCTTTTGGACTTGACCCGACATCCACCTCACTATTAACAAATGATGTTTACAAGGCTTGATTTTTTCATCACTAGAGGAAGAGTTCTCTCTAGATGGGAAGGGGGAAGAAGAATGCTCATTCATGACGTCTCTGCTTGTGCTCAAAATCATAATTATTTTGGTAGGACAATTAAAAGCAATGTGTCCATACCTTAAGCATTTAAAACATTTAATTGAACTAGACCTTTGAGGAGCAGCAACGTTAGGAGTGGGGTTCCTAGACGTGTTGCCGTTAGGGGGTGGCTCTTGGAGTGACTTGGAATGATTTTTATCATATTTTTCCGTACTCTTGTTCTTCTAATAAGAACTATAGTAGTCATTGTTTGAATATCTCCTCTTTGCCTCATCCTTTCTTTTCAATTGAGCTTCAATTTTTAAAGCAAGGTGTAAAACATTTTCAATAGAAGAGTATTCATATAATTCTATTAAGTCTTGGATGTCTCTCCTCAAACTACTAACAAACCTAGTTACTTTAGATTCATTGGTTTCATCGTGCATACCGACCCTAAGCAGCAAAGATTACTTTAGCTTCCCAGTCAAAGTATACTTTTGGATTGTTGTCTCCATGAAACTTTGAAATCTTAATGTTTTTTTTCTTGGAATGTTAATGCGCCTAGAATGTCTCCTTCCATGGTATCTCCTATCTTCTTCTTCTTAGGAACTTGGTGAGTATGAATGTCTTCTCTCTTTTTGGGACTTCTCTTCTTCTAGTCTTTGAATTGTTTCCCTCAAATATCTTTCACTTTCTTTCCGAGGCAATTGCATCTCCCTAATCAATTCCACTAGAGCTTATTCCGTTGGGTCTTTCATTTGTCCTTCATTAGATGCCCCCACATTACTTGCCTTCTCTGATGAGAAATTTGACATATCTGCAAAACAAGTTAAACTAACACAAAACACGAAAGATGAAAGGTTAAAATGTAAATCAAGTCACTCAAGTGTTTGGCTCCTCACACAAATTTGATTGGTAAGATCACTCCACTCTTCAAGTAGAAAAATTTCTAAATGTTCCAAAATTCTCTTTAAAGTCTTAAAAAATTTCTCTTAAAAAATGGCAATCAAATGAAAAGATGTATGTCAACCAAAACATTTAAGAGTTCCAAAAAAAGAAAATTTTCATAGACAAAACTTAAAGAAACCTAAGACAACAAGAAAAGCACAAAAAAAAAACAAGAAAGGTATACTAAGAAGAAAATTTAGACAAAACTTTGAACAAAACTAAAACAAGAAAAGCTAGAAAAAAAAATTGAGAAACAATTAAAACTTGCAATCAAAATTTTCAACTAAGAACACACATAAAGAAGACTAAGGTTCCTACAATGTTAGAACTAATTTGTCAAATTTTAATCATGCAACCAAGTATTATGACAATTTCTAAGATCAAATCTTATACGTGCATAATTTTTTTTCTTTTCCTTTTTTTTTTGAAGCAATAAGGTTTCGGTCAAGGTACTTTTGTGTAAAAAGATTGTTTGTTCTAACTTGATTCTAGACTTGCCAAAAGTTTTTTATAGTTGCTAGCAAAAATTTGATCACTTAGTCCCTATGTTTAAGATCCTAGATCAATTCATCATACATGGATTCAATTAATTAATTCATCATGCAATTTCAAGTATTGGAAGCCAATAAAAGAAAACTTCAACAAGAGATACTAGACATATAACTCAAAAGCAAAAACTAGGTACATTTAGAAAGACATTAAACTTAGAAGAATATGTAACTTAATCAAGTGCAAAAAAAATTTTGGCTAGGCATTTTATCAAACATTCATACATGTCATGAAAAGAAACTTAGGTGAGTGTAGTATTGCACCAATATCATTCCAAACTTTTGAGTGCAGCACCGCAAACCAAAAATGGCCAGAAAAACACAAGTTAGAGCACAAAGTGCAAGCTACACAAGGAATAAAGTCAAAGCAACAATAAGAATACTTTACTAGAAACAACCTAAGCTCTGAATACTAAATGATGTAAAATTAAGTAAGGTGTAGAATTTTAAGAAGATAAGGTACAGAATTTTAAGTAATAAAGTAAGCAAACCCAAGGAAAATTCCTATTGGATATTAAGATAGTTGTCTATCTAGATGTGAATGTTCATTTCTAAGGATTATAGAGAGAGGAAGAGATGAAATAAAACTAGAAAAGAATAAAGACAAGGGCTGGAAAAATGGACTAGCCCTTTGGATAAATAAATAAGAAAATATGAAGAGAAGAGAAGTATGGTGGTGGTGGAGTGTTGGCATGCCACTAGGAGATGAGCCACCCTAGATAAGTGGTGGTTGTCGTTACTTGAACCAAGGTTCAAAATAAGACACTAAAAAAGATGGAACACTCTAAGAAACCTCATCAACTTATCATAAATGTTCAACCTAATTACATGAAAGGAAACCTTCTATTTATAGGCTTTTGGGGGAGAAACCTAGATGAAATTATAAAAGGAGACATAAACTTAACCTAAACCTAAAGGCTAGAGTATCCATGGTCCAAATATGTTAAATTCATCCTAGTCCACCAAAAATACCTCTAAGAGTGTGGAGAATATGAAAAAAAGAGGTGTGTTTCCTTTTGGGTTATCCCAAGTCAATCATACCCGCAAGCCAAATTTCTTTCTCTTCAAAAAGGGGTGTAAGACATGAAAAAATAGTATCTTACACCTTTAGGCTGCCCACACATATATCCTATGTATCCAAACCCTCTTTTCCAATAAAAAGATGTAGTATTCTTTAAAAAGGAGATACAAAAAGTGACCTACAAAAGTAAAGCGAAAATAAGTAAAAAAAACATAGGAAAAAAATATATTTAGTAAATTAAAATGAAAGGTAAGGAGAAAGTCTCCCTTTTAATCATGTTTCTAATAATACTTTTAGGAATGACCACTTTCATCTCCGATCAACTAAAAACTCATAAAAAAATTACGATTTATATTATATTATATTATATATATATATATATATATATATATATATATAATAGGATAAACTAATTATTTATTAAACAAAAAGATTTTAAGCTTAATAGACAAACATATATAACTAATATAATTATAATATCACATTGTAGTATTTTGTGTGTTAAAGTTTCTTAATTTTTTTTTCTATTTAAAGGCTTAAATATTCTGATTTACCTGTAAGTTTAGCTTCTTTATTTTATTTAGAGGTAATATTTAAAAATGTCTTTTAAACAGGTTTTTAAACTATATCTAACTTATATCAAATTCCTTATATTAAATAAATTAGACTCAAAATATAAAGTCAGAAAACACACTCAAAATATACCTGAGTTTGACAGTTTACATATACCATTGAGGAATAATATGATTTTAAAGCACAAAAATATACGGTTAGAAATAATTGGATAATAAATAATTTATTAATATGTATTCGAAACAATTTAGTACAGTTTGTCTGAGATAATAAATTTTAAGGTCAGTCTATCTGAATAATAATAAATAGAGGAGCTGACTCTTGAATTAAATTTGCTATAATAACAGAAACAGGAAAGGTTAATGGCAATGGCAATGCACAGTAGTGTTTCACATGCAAAATGATATTTCTATTCTTTTGATTTCCAAATGGTACAAGGCATTGAAATGGAAAATACTGGTACAAGGCATTGGAATGGAAAAATATTGGTACAAGGGGCATTGGTACGGAAATACCAATTAAGATCAAAAGACACAACAAAAGAATACATGATTGATCTTTATTTGTGAGAAAGAAAACATCATCAAAACATCTCCCGGTGCCTAATCAAGGAGCTAGGTTGTGGCATGGTATGGTACAAAACTCTAAAGTTTCCTATGGATAGTGTACAACATGCAGACATACAAGGATGAATACATTTTACATGCTCCTTCCCACAAAGCTTCTACTTAATGGCTTTGAGAGCATGGTGACCATAGTGGTGCAAGCTGTAAATTTCATTGCCAACACTGCAGCTCCAGCACTTGCTGCTCATCATGTGGATGCATGATTCTCTTGGGACACTCCTGCTTGATCTGCATGACCAATTTTATATGTATCTCTTCAAATTTCCTATGTATACTATACATCCTTTTGCTTTATATGTTAAGATTGTTCATCTTTATAAAAATCATATTAAAAATCACACATAAGTTTTTTGGTTCACAGTGTAAAGCTTTTTAGACATGAGACAGCATGTACAAATTAAACTATATTTCAATTCTCTCTATCGAGTTTTTCCTTCTCGCACTACACATAACTATTTTTTTATTTTATTATCCTAGGAAATTTCAACATAGTTCTTTACCTTTGTGGAGAGAATGGCTTATCAAAATAAGGCATCAATTGAGCTCTTGGAACCATTTCCTTTCTTAGCAAACGAACCTCTTCCTCTTCAATCAACTGCTCCATATTAACTCATTTAGTTTCATGTATGAAATTTCTCAAATGTTACTCTCATTCTCATAAATAAGAGTATGCGCCTACCTTTTGCAGCCTCTCCTCTTGTTTCTTTTGCAGCTCCATGATATAGAATTTTGTTGTCACCTGTGCATGATTGCAAAACCACATTCATTAATAATCACATAAGCTAAATTCTAACTTCAGCACTGACTGTCCCCATTATTATCTTACAGCATAATTGAACATTGCACGCTTGACAGCTCTTTCTTGGGTGTGGAGTTTGAATTCTTGTGGCTTAGTGTTTTCTTTTGGTGGAGACCTTGGTGGAGACTTTGGTGGAGCCTAGAAAGATAAAAATGGCTTACCAAATTTGAAAGAAGAAATTTACATGTATATAAACTCGTATATATTACATACCATGTTACTTTCTTTGGGCGGAGACCTTCTTGAAGCCTAGGCATAGAGAAAAATGGCTCACCAAATTTGATATAAGAAATTTACATATATACAGTAGAAATTTACATACTAAGTCGCATAACCATGTTACTTACTTTAGTCTTGTCATAGAACTTGTCTTTGAGCACATCTTTTGTCTGTGAAACATCCAATTATGTCTTTTTAGGTGGCAATCATGATTCATGTATAATAAGGTAGAGGGTTTTAAAACAAACAATCATTCATAGAATAATGGAGAAGAAACAGAAAGAAGAGTAAAAAGCATAATAATTACAATTATAATGTTATTAGACAAAGTACTCGCGTGATCTTTGTGGGGCCATTGTGGGGTGACGCACTTCAAAGTTATGGAAAGGGGTTGCATGGTTCATGAATCATCTCAGTGAAGAAAAAAAAGAAGGTGGTCCAACATGTCTAAACACATAGGCCATGTACAATGAGTGGATATGAACAACTACTTGACGTACCAATTCACTTCACTTTTATAAACCAAAACTTCATTTTATAAGTAGTGTTATAAAAATGAAGTGTATTGATATGTCTTATTTCCCTTTTAGGTCGACGAGATAAAGTGTATACACATCATATGATACTTTTAGGTGATGTAAACCAAAAACATATAGAAAGTATATCAAATGGAAAAAAAGAAGAAAAAAGATTAAGAATTTGACGAAATAAGAGAAAACTCATTTAATTACATGGTACATAATATATGTCTTTCGTGTCAAACTCCACAACATTATCCATTAATTATCATCTTTTAGGTGGATAATTTTAGGGAAAATGATGGTTTCTGTTTTTTCTTTTTGTCGGAAAAGCTCTCATTGGTTTATAGCTATAATATTTTTTCAAAATTTTGGGAGATACTGCGATATAATTAATCAAGAATTTAATAATTGACAGCAAGTAGAAAGATGCATGGATAGACTTGCTGGGTGGATGAGGTAGTTAAGACAACTTCAATGATAATATTGAAAAGGTGAAATGGGATATTCTTTTTTTTATGCAAAATAGGATATCCATATCTTGTGACAAAAGTTATCATATGCATGCATTTATAAACTGGATTTTCTGTAAATTATCTTTTCATACAAGGATGAGAGTTAAGAGCAATGATAATAATGCGAAGTGTAGGCACAGAGACAAAAAGATCACATCCATATGCACAAGGTGGCAATCCAAATTGCAGCATCCAAAGGTTGTATCACCATCTAAGTATGCAAGAGGTGTTACTTAAATAACACTTCTCACTGATCTCTTTTCTTTTCACTGTCACTTAAGAGGTGAATTCAACTTGATATGAACTGAAACAAAACAACTATCTGAGTCCTGCTATGATAGAATGTAAACATTAAACCCCAAACCATCCATGCATGCCATGGAACTTTTAAGGGGCAACTAAATTTGACAATGAAACAAGGAGGGGCTTTTTAAGGAAAGGCATAATCTCACCATTCCTCTAGAATTAGTACTGCTCCATTGAGCTGCAGACTGAGAAGTGTTCTTCACAAACTTTTGTCATGGAAAAGAAGTGAAACTGTTAGAACATGTTATTGAGGTAAAAGAACAAAACAACAAATAAAACTAAGCTTCCCAACCTTCAAAGCAGATTTAGTGCTTGCTTTCTCCATGATTAATTAAGTGGGATGATAGTGCGTAGCAGTTTATGAGCTAAGGGGACTATATAAAGAGTGGGAAAAGAAGTTTGGAGGTTGGTAACTGTCTGAAAATTTTATTTTCTGTTGCTACATCACCAACATGCTCTAGGATTTGCATGCTTTCTTGTACCAAACTTTCTGATTAAACCTCCCTCTCAGCCATATATTTGTCATGCCTTGCTATGTTCCTTCAAATTTCTACTTGGCTTAAGTGAGGGATAATCCCTACTTCACATTAATTAATCTTAAGTTTTACTAATATGTTCAATTTGATCAAGTTGAGAACACTGAGATGTCTGTTAGTTATTTGGAAATACGTCCTCTCATTATAGTTGCTAGTGTCACTTTAATTATGTAATGTTGAATACAGAAAAGGCATAATTTAATAGTAGTTTGTATGATAAATATTTACATCCACTTATAGGCATAAAAATAAACAAAGTATATCACAGATTGAATTTATAAAAGCCACATGGTTATGTTTAAAGTTGCACAGTAAGAAAGTAGATGTGAATGACTGAGGAGGAACACATGAATTGTGCAGGAAGAGTTTTGAAAGAGGAAAAGTGAGATAAAAAGGTTGTTAATAGCCCCCTTTCAAATGTTTCTTGTTGAAGCCGTCAAGGTCAAACCAACCTAAGACACACTCCCTTCACACATTCTTCTGTCTAGACACTGCCTCACCTTCACATCACTGCTCTATCACTTCATGCTATCATCATCATCTAAATCTTATATTATATCACTTCTATGCTACCAAATATATGATTTTCATTTCTAATATATACCTTAATCCATTGCTTCTTAGTTGAGTAAATAGTTTATCTAAAAAAAAACATGATATTTGTTTTGTGATTAAAATAGTAATCTGCAAGTTGGTAACACTTGTAAGGAGGTGATAATGTTTTCTTGTGGTTTCATCCATTATTGTTGTAGTTACCATTTCACAAAGCTTAATGCGTTATGCTGCATAAAGATCATTTCCTAAATGCACTACGATAGAAGCAAAAATTAGTGCTTCAGAAGGAGAAAACTAAACAGATGGTTGAAAATGACAAAACGACAAAATAGGTAATTATTTATATGTTGAAGCGATTAATGTTAAATTCTGCAGTTGCGATATTGTCGATGGTTAATTAACGTTCGGACAACTTGAGTTACACTCTATATCTTCTTAATCAATTAGTTAATCCTCGTGTCATTCAGATTCAATGAACAACATGTCAATTCATGAATTTAAATAAAAAAAATGAATAAAATTGTCAAATCATGTGCATTATATCAGTCTCTCTTATCTTTTATAAATAAATCTTTCATTCCCATCCATAAATCTCTCATTCGGTACGACATCATCATGGATGAATATTGTATGAACAATTTCAGTCTTTTCAATTCCTGATATGCTTTTTAATGCTTTGTCTTTAATCTAAGTTTTGCATTTCTATTTCGTCTGCCTTTGAAAACTTGTTCACCGGTACATAACCACACACACGAACTTGTCACATCTTTCGTTAAATTTGTCACTTCAAAGAAATGGAATTTTATGTGGACAAAAAAAAAATCTTAGAAAAGATATTGAATAAGAACAATAATATAATTATATATTCACAACTACTATACAATTCAATTATAAAATTAATATAATAATAATAATAATCAGTATTTTATTAAAATTATTATTTTTTATTATATTATTAGATAAATATATCTTATAAAAACATAGTTTATATATTATTATTTATTTTATAATAATATATACCATGTTTATACAAATAAAATTATTAATATATTTTATAATAAGTTATGATTGAATAATAGTGTAAATTATATTATAATGAAATTTTGTTATATATATTTTTTCTATGTACTCTTGTTCCCATGACTATTAGTAAAACAAATTACTCAAATGTATTAATAACATCTATAATATTCATACTAATTAATCAATTTTTTGCCTAACAGATAATATATATATATATATATATATATATATATATATATATATATATATATATATATTGGAGGTGATTAAAGTTGATTTCTATAAGAACGTACGTTTCAACAACTTTTACATTTGCAAAGTCAATTCTACAGTAAATTGATTTTGAGGGTCTGGTTGTTAATTATATATTAAAAAAAATCTAATAACATTTAATTTCGTAATTAATCTTTAGATATTAAAAAAAACAGAAATTAATTTTCAAAAGAAAACAGATTCTTTCGAAAATCTTCAACATAATTTTTCATTCTAAACTCTAGATTTTATTTTAGCGAAAAGAATTTCCAGTCAGACAATTAATAAAAGTTGTATATTTTTGTCATCAACAAATTAAAACTCAGTATTAAATTGTTTACATAATTTACTATGCAGTTGAGAACTTTATATGTATTTTCTTTTCAATCTAATTTATTTCATATTCAAAATTATATATATATATATATATATATATATATATATATATATATATATATATGTATGTATGTATGTGTGTGTGAATATTTAAAGCTTAGACTACTTAATTAAACAGCACAAGTCACTTGTATAAAATAGTTTTATGTTATGAATATACACAGGATTTTCATTGCATATGTTGGTCCTTTACATTTGAAGTTGAAGTCTTATCCGAAACCGAATGGACAAAGTTGGAGGAAGTGGCTTTCATTTCCAGAAGAGGACAAGGACAGCGAGGAAAGCTGAGAACACGAATGGGGAAATAAAAGGTTGTTCAGAGCAAGTTTTCAAATGTTTCTTCTTGAAGCCGTCAACGAGGCCAAAGCAAGACACAGTGGCAGAATCGATTATGGTTTTGTGAAGCTGAAGGGTTAGCAGAATGTCATCCAATTCGTTAGGTTTATGAATGGAAAATCAACCTACTACAAGACACCACCACACGATAGCATGCTTGCACTTGAAGCTTGTGGGGTTTCCATTCCATACTTGATAATATCATGTCATATGATTCAGCCTCCATCAAGACTCTAACAAATTAGTCACCCCTCTCTCTCTTTCTTTTCAATTCACCGTGGAAAAGACAACATTAATGTAACTCAACCTGAGGACAAAGTCTCAACCACCATTCTCACACCAGTTATATGGTTCAGATACTAATTTCATTCACAATATTGTTTTTCTCATTGATCTGAGACAATTTATTACACAATAAGAATCAAACGCAAAACTAAATAAATAGTCTTCATCATAACACATGATCGCATAATGCGTAACCACTGCATAAATTTCGAAAATGAAGGAATGTGGTTGGTTGATATGTGAGAGTGAGCACTGGTTATACTCCAATAAGGCCAATACAATACACTTGTTGGGTTGTTAGTTTGTTGGTCTCTCACATCTGGGTCATATATACGAGTGAAGAATAATGAAAATTAGTTATGATTGAATTGAAAGCATGCAAAGATGATTAATAATCGTTCAAAATGTGTTTGGAAACCTTGTTTTATTCATTTATTTTTGGAGAAACAGGACAGCAGTGACTGCTTTATTCTTACACGCCGACGCAGTTGTCATCTTTTGGTGGAGTGAGCCATGCCTGGCTGTAAAGTTTTGTTCTTCTGTTTTCATTGAAAGGGTTGGAAAAGGTGTTTGCGAAAACAAAAGAATGAGAAAGAAGTGAAGCTTCCGTCCAGCAGTTATTATCAACTTAGTCTACTCAACAAAAATGCCATACATCTTTCTCAAGTTTGTTATAATTATCATATTCATTTAATAAAAATAAAAATAAAATAAAACTATTATTATAATATTAAAACAGAGTTATATGGATTTGGGTTGTGAAATATGCATTTATTTTTAATACATATAGAGAGAGAAAGAGAGAGAGACTATTTGGGACTATATATTTATTATTCTTTGTCTTGAACTTATAAAAATATCAACAACGATAACAAATAACAATTATACAAAGAATAAAATTTGAGTATAATTAATATCTAATTGAAACTGGAGTTTTACATGTTATTTTTAATACTAACTTAGTTTTAAGTCATGTTTAGAAAAATTAATATTTATTTTTGTAACTTCATACAAACTCTCTTTTTTTATGTAAAAGCTTTTTTTTTCTAAATTAAAACAATAACCCAAAAAATACTTTTCAACAAAAATAACAATAATAATTAAACCAAACGTAAAATAGCTTAATTTTCACAATTATCCCTAACTATCTTTTTATTTGTTCTCATGAACTTCAAATTTTTATTGAAGAATAAAACCAAACATTTAAAACAAAGTATTAAAAAAAAGTAGCGGTTTGTTAAACTAAGTAATTGGTCAGCCTACACGTCATAATCAATTTCTATCACCATAACCTTTCAATAAGACCAACTATTCAAATTAATTTCAAAGCACATCCAATTACATTGAATGATTCACAATTATTTTTATTCCCTTTTTAAAACAAAGTTATGAGAGGTTAAGCATAATGTACTCATATTCATAGACTACAAAAGTTCTTCTACAGATAAAGAAGTTTGTAATCACAAAGTTTTCATATTACGTTAATATGAGTTTTTAAAATTATATAAAAAAAGAATTATCTGTTTTGAATATCTGTTTTAAAATAAGTTTTCATATATATTATCCCTATTTAATATGAGTTTTTAAAATTATATAAAAAAAAGAATTATCACATATGCTAATTCTAAAATAAATATACTCATTATAACTATGTTCTCATACATATTAGTTTTAAGAATTTGATAATATTTTTTTCTTTCCACTCAAATAATGACAGTTAATAAATAATTTGTAAAGTATAATTGATGGATAAAATAAAATATTGAGAATTTTGGGTCATATATTAAGTTGATAAACTTTAATAGGTTTGGAGATTGGGATAACATCGTGGTAGGGTATGGGTAGGTGACCGCATCTCCCAAAGGCCATTTCTCAATCATGAAATTTTGATACTAAATTCAGTAGGAATCTTGAAAACCCATCCCCACAATATTTCACTTTTGTTTTTCAACACCATATTTTTTAAATAAATTACATATTATATTAAATGATAGGTAAAAATGTTTTAAAGTTATATAATAAATTAAACTTAAAAAAAAAACAAATGCACTTATTTTTTGTAAAAACAAAAAAGTAAATTTAACTATTTTGTTGTATATTGGATTCAAGTTTGATTTTGCCATTGTTGAAAAACCGACCTCGCAGTCAGCCAAATTTGATTTTTTTTTTTATCATCAAAGAACAAGATGAACTAAATAATTTTGTGTGGATTTTTGTTGCTATATTAAATTCACATTTTCAACTTTGAAGGATAAACTAAATGGTATATTTTCCATTGATTAAAATAGAATATCCCTTAAAAAAGTGATGAGTTAAAAGTGGAACTTAAAACGAATGATCCATATAAGTATTTAAATTAAATTAATGTTCATTAAAATAAATTTACAACAAAATACTAGTTAGAACTAGCCACTATCAAAACACTGAAAAACATGAAATACTGAACTTTAATTTTATCCTCATATAAATAGCGATAAAAGGGATATTTCTTGATGGAAAAAATAAGGAATATTTTATCGCTGTATACATGTAACTTAAACAAAACGAGACTCAATATCTAAACCTAACATTAGTTTTGAATAAAAAAAATTCCTTCGTTGTAAAATATAGTAAAATTAACAAAATATGTTTATATTATCTGTTTCAATAAAAAATAGTTTTTTTTTTAAACTATAATGAATGTAATGTTTATAACATAATAAACCACAAAAAAGCAAACCAAAAGTTACCACACAGTTCATGCAAATCTACATTTTTGCAGTTATATTCAGAGTTTGGTGACATGTTTTGTTAATTTGGACACAAAATAACCGTGGCAAAAATAAAGAGATATGTTAATAATATACTCATTATTGTTAACTAAAATATATTAACTAATAATTATGAATATATTTGACGAGTAATACTAATGATTCTGTACTTTAAATTAGTTTTAACTAATAATTAAGAGTTTTGTTATTAGCACTATTCAATAAAATAATTATTTTAGAACATTTTCCACAAGAAACAAATTCTATAAACTATCACCTATATATTGAAAACAATTGGGTTTTATAAAAGCTTAAAAATAAATGCCTCGTTAGACTTAGACCAAAACTCAAACCTTCGTAGTTTCCACTTGCCATAGACGTGATTGTAACTTACCATTTACCAATGTCTCAAACTTGTGCAGTTCTCAAGATAAGCATGAATTTCAATAAATTTTAAAAGCAAAATAATTCAACTCAATGGCCAATTTCAAGAGGTACTCCAAATGCTGCTTTTAACTTAGAAGCACCAGAAAATCAGCATAATGCACAATGTCATGGCATTATACCTTGGACCTTCAAGACTTGATCACATGGCATTATAACAGTTCTGATGAAGCTGAAAATATTCAAGAACTTGGGAAGTATAGAGCAGCGGCAGCATTCTTTATGTGAAACAAATAAGAAAATGAATTTCTGTCCTTTATGTCGGCCACCATAAGTAACTAAAACTCGAGCTTCATCGATGTGCTCTGCATCTTTGTCCTTTGCATATGGAGGGAGCTTGTTATTTGAATCTCATGAGAACATTCAAGTTGGTCTTATTCCTCAGACACCTTGAAGAAGGTATATGATAATATAATGTTGTTTATACCGTTCATTTTAGGATCCGTCTCAAATTCCGGGTCAATATAAAAGAATACCTACATTGTACAAGCAACATAGTATTTAGATATAAGTGCATTATGCACACATTGGAGTTCAGTTTGAAACCACTTACAGGCATGTCAACCTGCTCTCCAGGAAGAAGTCGCTGCTCCTCAAAGCAGAAGCATTGTATTTTATTAAAGTACACTGCCGCCTGTGAAGAAAATTTATAATTCGGACATTTTTGTAAAATGACTATTTTGGAGGGCCAGAAAGGAGAGAATAGGGAAGAACAGAAAACAGAATTCTTCAATAAGAAAAGCAGAAAAAATATCTCAGAATAACTTCCAACAGGAAGACGTCAAAAACGATATTAAGTTCTTAGTCATAAGACAAGGTTTTAATCATAGTGATATTTATATTATAAACTTCCAAAATTCTAAATATGCAGAGTTCCCGGACAGCCTTTGTTATAAATAGAACAGAGTATTCATCAGGAGTTAGTACCTTCATAGGAGTGACATTATACGTAGAAACACCTGTTATTGGAGTAGAACTTTTATTTTCTGCAGTATAAAATGCGAGGGCACTTTCACCGGGCTTGACCTTAACCTGGTAGAATAAATGAATAATGCCATCAGTTTTTACTTTTTCATTCTCCTTTTCCCCGTGTTCCAGGGGATGTGTCCTACAACACTAAACATCCAACTTTTTTAATGACATGAAACATTTCCAAGCCAGCAAGCACTCAAACGCAGTAAAATGGGAAAGTGTTAGGTAAGGATACAACTAGATTTAGATTCAAAAATATCATTTGTCCCCCAAATATTTAAACTATGATAACCTAGCTTTTTAACATGAGCTCAGATTTTAGCTTGACTTGATCATTAGTAGTTCTTTGAGTTGCCATTCTTACATTATAATGGACTAATATAAATGAAACCAACAGCTTCAGGAAATAAAATGAACTTAAATAATACTTTCACATGTCAGTTAATAAACCCTCTGTGATGGAAAGCAGTATGTTTTTTGTAAGGTGCAAGAGGTTAAGTAATGAAAAACCTCTCTCTGTGTGGGAATAAACTTCCATGGCATCCCATCAGCAATATCAGCATTGAACTGCACCACAATTTCCCTGAACAAATAAAAAATTTATCAACCCAAATAAAGTTATAACTGCAAAAAAGCTAGCTTCTACAGCACCACACCCTAATTGAGGTTTATTGAATAAGCCTCATAAGCATATATCTCTTATTAAATCATTACACAAATTTTTCCTTGACATATCAAAAGTACAGTAAAGGTACTACTGTTGAAGGTACAGGATAGGCAAGTTTTATGGAGTAATTTTCAGGTACAGCATAAACCTGACAAAATATATTTTTACTTTTACCTTCCTTTGCTTAGTTTTTTGTATAAGTACTATCTTATGCGTAACCACAGCATAAATGAAGGAATACAAAACAGCTCAAATAATTTGAACCAACACCTTAGGAACAGTGAAATGATAATTCTTTATCTTTTAAAACTGCTGGGAAATCCAACAGCTATTTCTAATAACCATCAACCTGAAGAAAAAACTAATCCTATGATGAGTGATGGTTAAAATGTAACATCCAATAAGAAAAACTAACACCTTGTGGACACTGTATTATTGCTATCATGTCGAGCAATCTTTTCTTCAACAGTCTGTAAAAATGTGAAATTCCAAAATTAACAGTTAAAAATAAGTAAAATTGCCAACCCAGTTGATGAAGAAAAGACATTGACAACCAACACAAACACACCTCACGCCGGGTAACAGTTCCCCCATAGCCAGTTGCTTGGCAGAATCTCCTGTAAAGGGGAACTGCAGCATACGTGCAGCCAACCATAGCAAAAACTAAGCCCGTCAAGTATAAAAGCATCTTTTGTGATTTCTGCTCTTTGGATGCATGAGATGAGAAGTGTCGTAAACCAGGCATGGAACATGACTTTCCAACATTCTGTGAAGCAAAAGCTGTATTACGGTAACACAGATGGAATGATTCTTGGCTAAACTTTGATACCCTTATATTACAAGAGAAATTGTGTTGGAAGCTGGTATTAGGATTAATGAACCTGTAACTTGATCCTTTAGAAATGATAGATAGGCACCTGAATAAAAAACAAAAATTATCTACAAATAACTCATTAAACGAATTTCTTTTTTGGAAATCACATTTTAGAGGCAAAAAGGTATGAATGACATAAACGTATCGCTATAATGAAAACCAATAACTAATTAGACAGAATAATTGGTTTGAGAATGCTGCTTGAGTAGTAAAGTATAATTTCATTCATTTTATCACAAATATGTTTCAGACAATTCCCCATAACCATTAGAGATTTAATCAATAATCTGAGACAAAAATAACAAAAACATAGATATTAGTGCTACATAACATAACCTGGATTCAAGAGAGTTCGTTTGCAAAGCCGTAAGATATGGCAAGCGATTAGTTTTCGTACTTAGCCTGGACCATATCATGTTTAGCAAGACTAATGTCCCTACAATAACAGGACATTAAGTGCTATCTGCGTGAAAAGAAAATAAGTATAAACTTAATTGCAGCACGTTTAGAAATGTTTGGGTGCTGAAAAATTGGTCACAGATAAAAACAATTATTTTATAATAAATTATATGTACGGTTTGATCAAGGACCAAAATACATGAACGAGTTTGTTTCAATATTAGCAATTAGGAAAAGAATCAAAATGTCAATACATGCCCTCAAACAGTGCTCTGTACCAGCACCAAATAAAAATACTTTTCCTAAAAATTCAGTTCTATAAGATAATTTTCTGTATGTTCATAAGAAAAATATTTTTTGTTTGGAATCAGATCGCATGAAAATTTTCACCCATAAATTGTGTATAAAATATTTACATATAGTTAAATAAATTTACTTAATTAGGATATCAAAGATAAACTCTCAAATTAATAAATAATCTAAATTCATTAACAAAATCAAGCACAATAACATTACACCAAAATATGGCATGGCACATGGGCAGACAGCACCTGTGAAGGAGATGATCTTCAAATCAAGTCAAAAATTGTGTTACTAAACGTATGCTTCCCCCAAACTATTTTACTTGTCTAAGTTTCTATTCTTGCCCCAATAATAATAAACAATAAAAGTATCAAACTATACAAAATGGACATAACATTAACATGGTCCCAAAGGGGAGGGGGGAGAATCCTCTTTTATTTGAATTATATTTTTTTCGAATACTCTCTCTAAAACCAAGCCAAAGCATGAATCCAATATAAACTAACTGAGAATGATCCTTTCAACACACATACATGGTAGCTCAACCAAGCACATGCAGAAATAGAGAACAACTCTCAAGCTTGAATATAAAATCAAATTAAGTTAGAAAGGGGTTAAGCTTTTCAAAGTGAAGGGTCCAGCCATTCAAAAATATCACTTCAGTTGGGCATTTCATCGAACAGCATTAATTCACCACAATACTTGCTTCCCTGGAAACTATAACCCGGCAAACCCAAAATCAAAATCAGACCCAAATCATAAGTGAACACAATCTCCATATCCCATCAACCAAATCAAGCATCGAGATAAAACCTGTAGAAATGCAGTAAAAATGTGAAAGTGCAAGAATGAGGGAAGAAGTGCTACACCGAAATTGATGAAGTTGAGAAGGGAGGATCAAAGCTGAAGCCTTCTGAGGACACCAATAATCAAAATCACGGTCCCTGCCGGGAATTCCGAGCTACGAATTGAATAAACCCACTTTGCCCGTTCACTTTAATTGGGTTGGGAAGAGTTGAAAACTTGATATTAGATATATTAGGGAATTTATATGTTTTTGGTTGGGTTTGGATAATTAATGTTTATTATTTTATACATATATATAATAAAAGTATTTTTTTTATACTTACAAATTGATATAAATTATTTATCAAATTTTTATGGAGATATATAATTTAGTCAATTATATTAATTTATATTTTTTATGTCTTTCTTTCATATAATTTTAAATTATATTATTTTATTATTATTATTATTAATATTTTTTTTCGTATATACGTTTCTTCTTGTTATTAAACATTATTGTAATTTATTAATTAATGTAATTATCATGATATATTTTGTTTAGACTTTCATCTTTATTTTGTATGTTAAGATTTATCTGCAATCATATGTTTATTTTTAGCATTGTAGTATCATATATAATAATATACTTATTTGATGATATCATATTTTATTTAATTATTATTTATTTAAAATATTTCAACTGCAGTTTAATTAAACTCGAAGAATTAACCGGTTCGGTTTTTATTTTTGAAAATAATAGCAAATTATAGATTTAAAAGGAGCCAAATAAATAGAAACGAGTACAATGTCATTTAAATATATAAATCAAATAATTTTCAGTTTTCCTAATCAAAATTGCTGTCAGCAAAAGACTTTAATCTCTCGTAATTTAACGAATTAAGATTCAAAGTTTTACTTAAAAAAAAAAACTTATATATTTAGTATTTGATAGTATTCTGATATGCTTCAAAAAAAATGGTTTTGGGACTTCTATGTGCTTCTTTATCTGAAAAAGAAGAAATTCCAAAATATGCGATGGAAAACCTTCAATTCCTCTAATGCTATTTGAATATGGCATAATCTAGACTAGGTTACTTGGTACTTCAACCATCGTTCATGGCTTTTCTCAGAATTCTTAATACACACAACAAAAATGTTTCTTTTGTGTTGTTTTTTGGGGGGAAACAACAAACACACATACACACACACAATAGAAACATTTTTTTCAAAAAAAAATTCAAAAGCAATTAACATATTGGAAAAAAAAAAAAAACTTGCTTTTGCTGTATATTGTGAGTCCGAATAAAATAAATAACTGTAACAACATCACATAACCAAATCTATCTTACCATTTCGGGTATTTTTGTTCAAAAAATAAAAAATAAGAGTTAGAGGTATAAATAGAAATAATTGCGGTGCCAATACCAATGCCCATAGTCCATCATTCAACAATGACCTCAAACCAATACAAAGCCCAATTTATGTACATTTGTAATAGTCTTGACTCATATTCTTTTTATTCTAGAATTAAAATTCCCTTCCTTTTGATAGTTACATTATTATTATTATTATCTTGCACTCTTTTTTTACATTCTTGGCCCCAATATAAAAAAATAGGTAGCATGAAGAAATCATATACATAGCCCATAACTTCTATCCAGTTTTGAATTCCTTTTGGGTCAGGTAACAGATAGCTTCAGGGGATAAAATGTCAAAATTGAAACTAGTTTTACACTCACTGTTCTTTTCTTTCTTTTGAAAAGTGAAAATGTTAGTGTTGTTAACATTCATGATTTCTTCAGATTTTTGTAATCATATTTTATTGGTTGATATATCAATCTCACTTGATAACATTGTGTTGTTAAACATGTACATGACAGTAAATTATAAAAGGGATGGGTTTGAAAATAGAGAAGACTTAGGTAATATATTTAGTGTTTGATATGATGATTACATCATCTTGAATGAATTGGATAATAATTGATTAAGTGTTATGTATGTGAAGTTGAATGATTGGAAGGGATGATCAGGAGAGTGAGACACGTTGGAAAGGAAATGAATTGAAAGTGGTAGATTCCTAGAAAAACAAAAATGAAATTATGGTGAGAAGGACTGATCAGGGGGTTCCTTATGAGCCAAAACCTGACCTAGTTATAGGGTTTCTATTGAGGACCATTTTCTTGTGGTACACCCTAGTTCCTACAACCCTATAAAACAAATATGCATCAGACTTGAGTTAATTGCTATATGCCTTATTCCATTCTCTGATCTGTGTTGATGCATTGTAGTCCCTTACTTTACCTAACGTGGTAGACATGGTTCATTGTTCATCTTAAATTTTTCAACAACTTGAAGGTGATGACACTGTCCATAGGCATTTTATTAGACATATACCCCTAATTGGTATATTCTATTACCAAGGACAAATCTCACTCTATTTAAGATGAAACTGCAATATAGATAAAAGTTATTATACATACATCACTGTGGATTGCTCAAGAACCCTTCTAGGAGAAATATTCTAAGTCCGTTAATACAGTTGGATCACAGTCCAACATGAAAATTGGACCACCCCATCTTGGTCCCCCATCACGGTCTTTAAAGTTTGGTTAAGACCAAGTTGAGAAAAAGGCAAGAATTTATGTACACAGAGCTCTTTATTTAATTAAGATTGTTCAGAAATGCAAATTAGTATAGCATAAAGGACCACAAGAAGAGTGCATCATGGAAAGTACTTAAATTTGGACAATTAGTTAAAGTAATTTGGGAGGATCACAAGGAAGTGAAATGCAATGCATTGAAGAAAAGGACAAAGAGTTGGGAGAGGAAGCAATGAAACCCAAGTTCCAAGAGAAGAGCTACTATTATAGTGTCAACCTTAATGGCAGATCTAAACAAGTAACCTTTTGTTTCATGTTGTAACCCGTCCCACCCACCCCTAGGACAAATCCCAGATGACACATAACTGAACTCAACTTACATTTTTCCTATTCTGGTACCCAACATAAAAGAAAACAAAGAAAGCACAGCTTTTGACTGTACGTATAAACCATATCCAAACATAACTTTATACACATAGGCCTGCCTCAAAAATTACCTCTAAATGCATGGATGCTGATTAAATAAGGGCAAAATGTTCCCCTTTGGTGGTTGACTGCCACTGACATTGCATAACTGCGTTTTATTTTCTGGACTAACTAAACATGCTTCCTTTGGTAACCCTTTTCTGTTAATCACACCATTTTCAATCTAATGTAAGACATTGAGTTACACCATTTTTTTCCTCGCTACTAAAAATTAGCAAAGTGTTCATTTTCAGGCTCTGGATTGCAAATTATCATTTCCAAATGTAGGAATAGCAAAGCATATGAAATACTACTTTGTTTGTACCTTATCTCGGGAATAAAACAAAAAAGGTGAACTTAAAAAAATGGATACCACTGAAAAAAAAAAGTCAAACAGTGACCAAACTAGTCAAGAGGTAATTGTAAATTTATTTTTGTAGAGTGTTGTTTGTTTATTGAACTTTATTCAAGGTTAATGAATGTGTTTGTTTTTTCTTTTGTTGATTTGTTCACTCCTTAAGACAAGGTTGGATTGATATTATTGGGAGGTGTGCAGGATATTGAATGTTTGTTTGAATGATTACAAGGGATAAAGAAAGAGAGTTAAACTTGGTAGGAGGAAAATAACAAGAGGAATTTGAAATTGAATTGAAGAGAGGAGAGTGATAGTGAAAGATGAGAAGAGAGAATGGAATGGTAATACATGAAGGAAGAGGGGCCAAGGGAAGAAGATATAGGGCACAAAGTTAGAAAGAGTTGGAGATTACAGAAACAGAGCGCGCTTTAAATGCGGGGCAGACAATTGAGTCAGCGACTTTCGTGAAGGACATTGTCAGCCTCCCTTCTCAGGGCCCTTAACAACC